TGATATTGTTTAATGCTTGCTGGATCATTATTTAAACTATATCAAGCTTTCTCATCTGAGATGTATCCGAATAAATCGCATTCCACTATCAAGAGTATCGGGCTACATCAGATTCTGGGAGTGTAAGAGACTACATTATATTTTGATCGATAGATCAAAGCGAAGACGAATTCGTGTGAATTGAAGAAGGAAATGAATTCATGAGTGCGTGCCTACATTAATCTGACAGACTTAATTGAACAATTATGTTACCTTTGTATAATACTATAGTACATTATCATCAACTGCACTTACATCTGATTACTTCTATCATCATTCTCTGAGAATATACTTTTTTCAAGTCTGTATCTTGGATACTAGGTTTGTTTGTGACTTGAATCTGTACCTGTGCCCTCGCATACGGATTGATATCTCTAGATTATTATCGCTCAGTAAGGCTCTTTCCCAACATGCTGAGTCTGATTGAAATCGCAAAACATCAAATGAAACCGTTCAATTCAGTTGCTAAGCAACAGAATTTCAATTGCTCTAACAACGAACGACCACCGTCCGCAATGAATAATGACGAATAATAATGCAACGTTAGATTATTCATTTTGTTCACTCAGCTAACTCCTTATGTAACCTGTACCACTTAGTCGAATGTAGTATCAGTACCAAGGTTGGGGACAACACTCTGAGATTGTATTTTATTGTATAGCTGACTGTATAAGTGTAATACTAAATATAATTTATGTGACAATAGTAACGACATTGTATGCAAGCTAATAGTTATAAGTATGTTGATTAGTATTACATTAAAAACTGTTATTATTAGCACTGATAGGCTGTTTGGATTGATATCATTAGAGTTATTTGATTCGCCTTACTACTTATTATACTGCTGATTATTTCATTCGCTTTACTACTTCTCATANTGATATGAGGCAGTTAGTTGTATATAACATAGCTACTGCTAGTTTTTTTTTGATTTTTGATTAGTTCGATGATGGTGTTTAGTATATTAATTGGAGATTGTATCAAAATCATTTATTTGATGATAGCAATGATGTATTATGAGTATTCGATATTGATGTTGATATCACTCTCAGTACTGATTTCGTTGTGGGGACGGATTTCATTTTATGATTCCATTTGATTTGCTCTTTTCACTGTCATTTAGTCAGTTTGGGTCAGGGATATTTTCATTCTTAATACGAAATGAATTACAGATTTCAATCATCCTCTCTCAGCTAATCGATCATCAACAACTTGCTCAGTGATATTTGCAGTTCATCATTTGACCAGCCGAATCATCGTGACTAATAAGTGATAAGCCAGTTACTTGATTTGTTGATCTTCACTGAAATATTTAAATATTTTCGACAGTCATATTCATTTGCCACAACTATCAAGAATATATTCAGGCATATGCGTGTTCCGTACACTCATTAATCTTTACAAACGTCGTTCGGTTGTTCGGTTCATTTAAAAAATTAAAGCTCGAAACTGAATTTGTGACGAAACATCTTGTGATAACATTATTATAGTTTCGTGAACGACATTTTGCATCTGTAATCAATCGATGATCAATCATTTATGATCTAATGATCAATTTCATCATCTAATCAGATTGAAACCAGATAATTAGTACCAACAACGAACATGTCCAACAACGATTGGGTTGCACAAAATCTTCAAAAACAGGTTCGCCTTGTCATCCAATTGGTTCTTTAAACACATTTGATGCCTTACTTTCCATGCACATCGATGATGACCCCTGTTTGGTGTAAACGCAATGAATATCCAAAGATTCGAATACGCATCAAATCATTCAAAGAATTTTTCGAAAATCATACCTATCTCAGTCCAAGTTTTGCTAACATTCTTCAAAGTTATCATTATATCCTACTACCACAAAAATCGCATGATGAACTTGTATATATGTGAACAAATTTAATTATCGTATGCAATGATATCAGTTGTATTTTGTGACTTATACCATTGAGCACATCCGACGTAATATGATTTCACTGAATTTCTGCTCTGATTTTTTATGATATCTTTGTTGAATTATTGAGCAAGAATGTTCGTATAGATGTGATTATACTTTTTTGTATGACTTTTTTTTATTTTTTCTATGATCCTGACCACAACACGATGTGATATCATTTTCAGGATTTATTTACTTAGTGATTTATTGAGTTATGACTGATCATTTCCCGAGTAATTCGGATACATTTCATCCCAGCGTTACAAAAATTTTTCGAACATTATTTTACGAACATTCAGCATATATGTTAATGTCCAGCAGCGCACGGTGAAAAGCAATTGGTGAAACTGTAAACTTTAATATTCGATGGAATCGTTTCACATTATTCAAGTTAATTTGTAATCGTCTCGTGCATATTAATGATACAATCTGACGCGTAATCCTAAGAACTACCGAACGATGCAGTCAAATATCAAGGTCTATATTCACACTAATGCACATTTTTCATCTAAATGAGATGGAATGGAATGCTGATTTCGCAAACGTCATGCATTTCTTTGAATGAACACATGCATAGAACAGCGTTTAATATTATGGAGTTACGCATGAGAGAATAGGCATGACGAGACGTTTGTGTAAATAATATCTTATATTTATATGACCTTGACCATAACACGATGTGATATCATTTTCAGTATTATGGTATTTTATTTTCGTTTTGCCATGATACGTCAAAAGGAGAATTTTTCATTTTTCATGTTTACGTCATTCCGCTGACTCAGTGCCTCTTTTTAAATGGTAAAATGCAAGTGAAATATTTTTCACATTATTCTGAGATAGTTTGTGAGGTTTTTCTCGGTGGACTAATCAGCAAGGCGATTGCAAATTTTCAAGGATGAATTGAAGGTAGCGATCTGTAGATCAAGTTCGCTAAGTAGCATTTTAGTGAGAACTATTACTCACTGTCTTTTCCAATCAGTTATAATTTCAACTAGAAATTTTCGTTACTTTTTTGTCATCAACGCTAACAGCTGATTATTTTTAGCGATGCTACTTTTTTCAATAGCTTAGCCATCTGATTAATACTGTTGAGGGAAACTAACAACTATCCAATTATGCTATCGGCGACCTCCCGGTGATATTATTACCGACAGAAATGTGCTGGAATTATGCTTACGGATCACAGCTGAGTATTTTCTAAGGAACATGTCTGTTCAATTACAGACATTCCCAATGAAGTGCTGAGCATCTGATATTGATAGTTAGACGACGTCATATCTGTTATTGATGTTATAACTAGTTATCATGTCATCAGTAATAGACGGGTATTACTGTTGTTGTTGGAGAATACAAGTCAATATTTTCTTACGGAAGTATAACTTAGCTATTGCTGACAGTACTGAAGTGATTATTCATCAGTTTTGCCAGGCAAACTCCATTGGTATTTTCATTATTATTGCTTTTATTAGGATCATTGAATCTTTTTCTTGTCATCGCTACGATTTCCCCAATTTGGACGATTAGTTCAAAGATTTTTGTTTGGAACTGAACAAGGTTCAGTCTTTTAACAGGTTTTCATCACTTTTCAGTAGCCAAAAATAATTTGCATGATTACATTTCTGTTTTAATTATCAAAGTTTTTATCGTAATTTCTCATCTGCCCGAACAAACATTCAGACAAGCAGACCTTCCTGATAGAGCGTCTCATTCGATTGGAATATTTTATTGCCTTGCTTCTATATCATCCCTTAGTATTACTGGGAAGCCCAGTTGCATCCATCCGAGATATTATTCCACCTTTACACTCACTCTTTGTCCCAGTCCTCTCAGATGGAAGTTTAGCTCACAGTCAGCAAAGCACTGTGAATGCTATCATGAAGGCTTTGGGAAATATAATATCGATGTGCTTTTTTTCATCAACTGATTATTTCATTATATGCATTCAGCGAGGCAGAGAGCTGTCATGAAGATTATCGGATTAGTCGTCTAATTCATTCGCAATTTGACGTCTGGACTAAAAATATGACAGCTAAACGATCACCTTATTATGCGAAAACCAGTATTAGTATAATGTTGCACCTCTTAAATTTTGTCTCGTCACCATAATTTTCAACATTTCTATCATCGATCAATCGAATATTTTGGCGAAGTACTTTGGAATTCTCCCCTTCTTATACTGATTCCATTGTATATTTTCATATTTTCAAACCAACCTTCTTCCGTTTACTGCAAATGTGATTAAAATTTTCGAAAATTAGTCTGTCATTCAGTTGAAGGCAGAGTTCGATTCGTACTTATCATTCCCGGTGTAATTGACAATGTTTTCACAGTGGATTTTCTGAGAACCGCAGCTCTCAAGGTTGCGCCTGCGGAAGGGATTGGTCCAGATTCCATGAACTAGACTAGACCGTTTTGTGCTCTTTAGACCGTGAAAAAATCCTGACTACGTCAATGCTTTGATATAGATTGATCAGCGAGGTGAACAGCTACACGCAATAACTATATGTTTTATTCGGTAGCAAGCGAAGAATATTAATTACTGAAGATAATTACTATTAGAAACTGTGAGCACGTCAAGAACAATAATAATCCATCTGAGGGTTGATACTCATGTTATTACTGGTTGATACACACTGGATATTTTGAGTAATTTGTTGACTACTCATAATTGGTCATACATTGAATGCTTCGCGTGTTTTGTCCAGTGACGATAGCAGTAATAAGAATGGCACGTTGAAGCGTATTCAGAATATTATTCTCTTCAATATCATTTCAATAAGCAATTCGTTTGCAGAATACTTTCAATAGTCAGTTCGTCAATTTTCATCTACCCGTAAAAATAAACACATTCAGCAGTGTTAGCAATATCCATCACAATATATGTTGCATCTTCATCAGCAGTCAAAAATCGCCCGTTGGAGTGTATTGAAGAAGGAGCAAAACAATAATAAAACTGATACTACATTATAGCAATTGTATCTTATCGGAGTGTTGCCGTGCACACGGATAAGAGATTATTCATTTATTTATGGTTTTGCATACTATCACGTTGTCAGAAGATGGAATCGATTTGCAGCGCCGCATTCTGGAGGAGAAACAACGCCAGAAACGTCTGTTGAACAGTGGCGGAATTCGACTGAATGATCCACCGAAAGAGCATTCGTTCTCGAATCGCCTGATCTTATCCAGAAATATCTCATCCAGTCCAAGTTTTAATTCACCCTGCATGGGTCGACAGATTGGTAGTAGCCCATCGACGGCGGGCGCAGTTACCTCGAGCCTTTCGGGAAGTCCGTCGGGACCTTTTTCGGGCACCTATGTGGGAGTTTCGGGAAATCACCCCGGAATGTCGAATGCAAGTCGGGAATCGTACGCATACGATGGCCCGCTGTCGTATGGAGCCGAAGATCCGGACAGTACATCACCGGGCATTTCCGGACCAACCATTATTACGGTCAGAGGTGTGACTCCACGGCCAATTCAGAGGTTTATCTGAATTTTTATTATTGGAGTTTTTGAGACTGAATTGTTCCATATTCTCCGAACCATCTGAAATGCATAGATGTCTTTTGGAATTACTGCATGTAAAGTGGATGTAAGGAGTTGAGGATGGACCTTAGAACTAAATGATCATAGCAATAACCTTGATCGATAGCTATCAAATCCTGCTACACTTTTCCATGCTGGAAAGTTTTTTAAGTGAAAGCACGTTAGCTGAATGTATTTATTGGTGATATGAGAAAGGATTCAGCTAATAGGTTTTGGGATTAAGTGAGGCTTAACTCTCGACAGATTTCCTGAGCGACTTCTACATCTCGCCTTTACAGTTTCAGTTCCTATATAGTTAATTAACTGAACAGTGCTGATCGCAATCAGCAGACCACTAATCACTCAAACTCTTGCAGTTCATCAGATGAAGAAGAATCGTTGTTGTCGAAGAAACTACTGGACGATGCTGAAAAGCCGGATGTTATGGCGACTTCGACTACGGAAAATGAGGATGATCTAGCGGTTGAACCATGGCGAGATGAAATCGAAGAGAATATTTTAGCAGGTCTCGCACTTTTCCCATCCTTATCGCTAGCTTATTTAGTGGGTTATCCATGTCCAGAGTTGAACCAGTAAATCTAATTTTCCACTTGAACAATAGATCGGCAATGGGCTCCTGCATTGAATATTTTCTGTTGAATATTCTGTTTCTGTTGAATACATTGAATATTCTGCAGTTTGTAATGGCACCTGCAGAACAGAACTGTGTGGGATAGTTGATATTCCTGTATCAATGAACAGTTTCAATATGAGCTGCTGAAAGTAGTGACTGAATTGACTCAAACTAATAAAAATAAAGGGAATGTCGATCACATTTTATTGTTGTTGATCATTCAAGCTCGTGACTTTCCAATCAGATGTTTTCTATTCTCCCCCTCTAATTCATATCAGGAGAGTGATTACAGATTAAGTTCATTGCACTTTCAGGTACTGAATACCCAGACATCAATGAAATAATCACAAATTTGGAGCAGTTTGTAATGGCACCTGCGAAACGGAATGTCACCTATAAATGCCGTATAACAAGAGATAAGAAAGGCATGGACAGGGGAATCTACCCCACATATTTTCTGCATTTAGAAAAAGACGATGAAAAACGGGTTTGTTAATCGCATTATAGTTTACTTCGATTGGCACTTATTCTGCTGTCCTCTGTTTCAAATGAACTTCGCTTCTCAGGTATACACAGCTTTGCTGAGTAATACACAGTTATTCTGAGTACTAGTAATGTACCCCATTACTCAGCTATACTGGGTAATGAGTACATCACTAGCGATGGAACAGAATGAGAGCAACGATCTATTGATGATGATCATGGAATGAGAAAATTGCATGATGTAATTGAAAAAGAATGAGAATTAGGTGAGAAACTGATGAAAGAATGAGAGTGTTGAAAATATTCATGAAAAGAATGAGAATTCAAGTGATATGGGCATATTCTAGAGAAACATGCACGGTCGAGAATGATATTCTATCTGTACAAGAAACCTTCCTGACTATTCAAATCAGTATTAAAATTGTGTTCAAGAGTTTTTCAACTCTGAAATTCTCGGAAACAGAAAGGTTATTCAACAGTCATTCAAGGAAGAATCTCCGCGTATTAGAGATGCTTAGAAATATATACTGCAAAGATCCAAACTCGAGCAGTAGTGCTTTCTTGACCACAGCTGTTAAATAATCTGATTATAAAGTCGATTGGATATCATATTTTCTATACCGCTAAGCCAGTGATGTAAGCGATCTTACAATAGTGAGTAAAGAATTCAGAAATTAATTGCAGGTATTTTTGTTGGCAGCACGTAAACGAAAAAAGAGTACAACGGCAAATTATTTGATCTCAATTGATCCTACGGATCTCAGTCGAGTCGGGAACTCGTTTGTTGGAAAAGTGAGGTTCGTGCCATATTTCGCTGATAATGCATTTTGATGACGTTAACAGTCAGCAGTTAATCTGTCCGAGATGCTAAACGTGATAAGAATTTGAACATCATATTGCAATGGTCGTAAGTTTCAGGTCGAATGCGTTAGGAACGCACTTTACGCTTTATGATAACGGTGAAAATCCAAAGAAGGCAGCGGTCATTGGCGACTGTGTTCGACAGGAACTGGCTGCGGTCATTTATGTTAGTTGTGTTGATTCCATTTAGTGAGGAATTGCAGTTTGGTGGATTTTGTGATTTGTTATGTGAGATATGCATTCTGAACATTTGATCGGTAAGGTATCTTTTGCTTTGTTTATTTTATAGGAAACGAATGTACTTGGCTTTAAAGGACCCCGTAAGATGACCATTCTGATACCTGGAATCTGCGACACCGAGAATTATCGTCGTAAACAAATTCGACCAATTTCTGTGAGTCTCTCATTCAATTTTCATTTTATCACGTTCGAAAGCAGATTGGTTTGTGTGTAGTTTCAGTGTATACTCGATCGCTGTCAATGATCACCGAACGAAATGAATGAATCGAGCGTTGTTTAATGCACCAACGTTTTTGCAGGAGAAGGACGCTATACTGGAAAGGTGGAAGAATCGACGTACAGAAGAGCTGATTGCAATGCACAATAAGAATCCTGTGTGGAATGAAGGTTCACTTCAATTTATCTTACCAAATTGCTCACCACTACTCAAATAGCCATGAAATGAACTAGCATGGCGAATCATAGATCAATTCGACTTCTTCACACAAACTCAAACAGAATTCAGGAAGAAAGGAAAGGAGACATTTTGACTGGAGAATTCCATTGAAACTTCTACTGAATATAATCAATTATCAAAAATGTTTATAGCAACACATTCTGTTGAGTATATCTAACAATAAGCGTAGGCGATATCATTTATATATCAAAGTATTGTTGTGTTGGTATGGCATCTGAGTGATGATTGCAACTCATAATGGAATATGAAATAAAGAAAACGAACCAACTCATTTTGCAGATACTCAATCATATGTACTGAACTTCCACGGACGTGTCACCCAAGCGTCAGTGAAGAATTTTCAAATCGTACACGAAGCTGACCGTTAGTAAATAATTTCATTGAAATGATAACCTAGATTCAAATCAGTGCTACAGCTACACCTCATGAGGCTGGCTTAGTGATGCCATAATGATGATAATGATAACGATTCCAACATTGAGTCAACGATAGTTTAATACTACTGATAGTACTGATTCAGAACTAACAAGATAGGGTATTTGTGAATTGTGACAGCAACTGTAATAGTAGCGCGTTGATATTGGTGTTTTCAGTGACATTGATCGCAGTGGTCATAAGTAACTGAGACATTGAAACTTCGGTTCTGAAAGTAATAATCATGAGGTGATGAAGGCTACATTTTTAGATGACGGCTGCTAAAAAAATTGATCAAATAAGTACTTTTGATTATAGTAATTTATTAATGACAGTGTTAATAGGAGGTGATTATCAGACATAAAGTTTGTAAATTATCATTTCATCAAAACAGTGCATCCGATTTCAGCCGACTACATCGTGATGCAGTTCGGTCGTATTAGTGATGAAATGTTCACAATGGACTTCAGATATCCGTTATCAGCATTGCAAGCGTTCGGCATTGCGATGACAAGTTTTCATGGGAAGCTGGCTTGTGAATAAATGAATTTGATCGTCGAATTTTTTCGATCATGAACGGGAGAGTTACTGAATGAATGAAAATGTTCATAAACGGAGGTTCCAGTGTATTTCAGTTCTTTCAGGAAATGAAAGCGCAGATTTATTAGTCGTTTGATAATCTATTCATTTGCATTATGTAACTTATTCATTTACATAGGGACGAGATTGGAGATTATCAAAGTAGTTAGGTTGCCGGGCGATTCCTGAAAACTGATCAGTGGTGGACGTAAGTTCAAGGTGTCATCAGATAATGATATGAAGTGGTCTTTTCTCGGCGAATGACATAAACGTGTTCTAATGAAGATGATAATAATGAATTAGAATTATTATGATAATGTTAATGTAGTAATAATAGTGATAAAATGATGACAATACTATTACTATATAATGTATATCACCAGTTGTATCGTTGCGTAATGAATAAATTGGTGAAATGTTTGTGATGATTCGAACGAATTCGAAGAAAATAAATTGTTCGCAAAACCGACCGTATGGAGCAATTTGGTGGCATGTGAAGAGAATTGGAGTCATAAAATTAAAGAAAAAAGCAAACATTCTGGACAATGATTTCGTTCAACCATTGAACTGAATGCATTGAATCTAATGTTGGTCAGGATTGATTAAAATGATGGTGAATAATTGAGGACTTGTCATATATAAGCGCATAGGAAACTTGAACATTTAACAGTATCCTTACTCTGTTAAACGACCTCCGACGGAATGTAGCGAAGAAACTCATTTCATCTCATCTGTATTTG